TACATTCTTACTAAATGTTTGTTGAATGACTTCTGAATTTAGAATTAGGAGAGCCCTGGGTTCAAATCCCACTTCTAACACTTTAATAGCTGGATGGCCATGGCAGAGGCAGGGAGGGGAAGAGGGAATAGTCATTTAACCTTTTTATGTCTCAGTTTCTTACTCTATATAATCAGGGTAATACTTGTGCTACCTATCTCACAAGGCTGATGAGAGAAGAGCAAATGAGATAACAGGTATAATATACTTTGCAAATTTTAAAGGCTATAAAAATAACAACTAATATCATCATAACACTGTTGTCATTTTATATCCAGGGCATACGTGGAGCTATGCTTTGGCCTAGGCTGAAACGAGTGCTTCTTCCCTTATAGAGAAGAGTTTCTCTTTGTGAGAAGAAAATATGTTACCAAGGAAGACGAAATGAGAATTGCAAAGGCACATGCCACTTGAAGAAATGCAGGTTTGTTGTTGTTGTTCAGTCATTTCAGTCGTATCTGATTCTTCATGACCCTATTTGGGATTTTCTTGACAAAGATACTGGAGTGGCTTTACCATTTCCTTCTCCAGCTCATTTTTACAAATGTGGAAACTGAGGCAAACAGGGTTAAGTGACTTGCCCAGGGTCACACAGCCAGTAAGTGTCTGAGACCAGATCTAAACTTAGGTCTTCCTGACTCCAAGTCCACCTAGTAAGCCAACCAATTCAAAAGAAATCTTTTCTGCTCTTCCAACAGAAGCCAAATTTCGGGAGAAAGACTCTTTAAAGACAACACATTCTGAGATAGATGATTCCCAGTCCAAAGAATCTGTTGTCTTTAATGTTAAAACATGTTAAGACATATAACATTATGTTATGTGCAGAATGTTAAGACACATAACGTTATAATCTTTGAAATTACCAAGGCCAGAAGAACATCTATTTTGACAAAGGCTACCTAAGTAAAAGCCCAAATGCCTTCTTATCCATATACTAATTAGGAATAACCTTAATGCAGCTGTCATAAGCCAAGGCATCATCAAAAGCATGGACAGCATGTAAGAATTTATAACTTCTGTTTTCTGTTCTTCCATTTGTTTTCAGTAATTACTTATGCCATCTGAGTTTATGTGTTAGTAAACAGTTAAGCTATATGATTTGGCCTTGTGGGGTTAAAAAAAAAAACCAACCAGAGATGTGCATGACTCCACTGGCATCAGCAAACTTCAAAAGCTCTCTGTCACATGCATATAAAATAAAACCTGAATTCCTAAGCCTGGCATTCTAGCCCAATGGCATTTAGGCCTCAACCTACCTTTCCAACCTTATCTCCTACTATTGCCCAATACAGATCCTCTGCTTCAGTCAGGCTGGTCTAATTGCCCTCCTCCCCAAAATGCCTTATACATTTACAATACATTCTCTACTTTCGCTCATACTCTTCACCTCACTGATACTGGAAGGCACTCACCTCTCCACTCTGCCTATCCAATTCAAATCCATTCTTTAAAACCCAGTTCAAATCCTACCTCCATGAAACATTTCCCTAGAGACCCCAGGCAACTGTAATCTCAATTTCCTCTAAATTCAGGTGTTACTTATTATGTGTACCACTCATTTGGCAATAAGCATCTGTTATTTTATAGTATCAGCTATCTGTTGTCTACACATGTCCTGTCACCTCTACTAGAATTATAAGCTCTATGTGGCAGCTCACAACTGCCCTCAGATTCTAAATACCTTTGTATCTCCAACAGTCCTTTGCATACAGTGGATGCCCGATAAATATTCCTTGATTAAGTCTAGCTTAACTACACTGATCTGTTTATCTACTCAACTGATACCAAGTTCCATGTTGGTGGAATTAGGGGGAAAAGCAGCCTAACAAATTGTTGAAAGGAGTGCAGACTAGTACAAACATTTTGGAGAACAGAATGGCAATGTAGGATGAGTCACAAAACAAAATCTTTTGACCCAAGAAAACTGTCACTGGATGTTCTACCCAAAAAGAAAGAATAGGGCCTATTCATAATTGATGTAATAATGTAAATAGCAAAAAAAGAAAAAAAATCTATATAATAATTAGCAAATGTATGAATAAATTATGGCATATTAATACATGTTAGAGTATAATAATTAATAATACATATGAACAGCCTATAAGGAAATATAGAAAGATCTAGTGCATAGGGAAAGAAGAATCAAAACCATATAACATATGAATTACAACTACAGTTTTTTTTTAAAAAAAAAAAGGGCAGAAAATAGAAGAAAAAAGAAAACAACCAAAAGGCAGCAGAAATTCAGGGAAGTGTGGAAAGAGAGGCAGAACCAGGGCCCGCTAGGTGGCACAATGGATAGAGCACCAGCCCTGCAGTCTCACACCAGACACTTGACACTTACTAGTTGTAAGACCCTGGGCAAGTCACTTAACCCCACTTGCCTCATCAAAAAAAAAAAGAGAGAGAGAGAGAGAAAGACAGAGAGAGAGAGAGGCAGAATCAATACTTTTTTTAAATTGTTAAATGTTTGTCAATTTGTTTGATTCTGCCTTGGTAAAAGTTAGAGGTTTAAGGTAAATCCAGTTCCTTGTTTTTCTGTGTTTACATTTGACCAAGTTCTTTCTTTTGACAATTACTAAATTCACAATTTAAAAAATGCTTTGTGTTCTTACTACAGGCAAGGTGTGCTATCATTGAAATTCAACAACTCGCTTGGGCTGGGCTAGTGCACAGAGAACATGAGAGGGGAAGACCCAACCACCTTCTGTGGAGTGAGCTCAAGTGGCAGAATGCAAGTAGGGCAGAAGGCAGAAGAAAAATGTCAAATATGTGAAATAACATTCTGGCAGAGCAGTAGTTGGTGGGCAAACAGCAGAAGACAGCCCAGCTTGGAGTGTTGTAATCAGAAATGGAACAAATGTTGTGAGTCTAAGACATGGAGATATACACAGTACCAGGCTCTACAATGCCAGATTCTTCAGAGGTTTTTTTTTCCCCCAGCAATTAAGCCCTATTTATTCACAGTTTTTTTATTGTGCTCAACAAATCTTCAGGATCTGAGAAATTTTTAAGGCAGAGACTCCCAAACTTTGGTGCCCTTAGTGTCTCAATAATCTTTCCATAGCACCTCTAAACCAAAAGAAATATCAAATTGTTCCGTTTATCAAGAATTCATGTTGACAATTTTAAATATACTTCAGCATCCTTGTGAGTTCACTGGGGCAAGGATAACTTGGCACACAGTTTGGAACACTGCTTTAAGGTCTAAGGAGGAGAGCAAGAAAACTCCCCTCCCAAAAAAAATACAAGAAAAAAAAGAAAACTCCCCTCCATTCCCTCTCCCCATAAACTGTGGGGTATGAGCTGTGCAGGACGAGCAATACTACCTTATGGGGTCTTACCAAGGTCCAGATTCCAGCCAGGGTTAGAAGTTTCCCAATTCTGTCCTGCTCTATCTACATGTGTGTCTACAGTAGTGTTCAAAGAGAACTCTTCTTCAGAATGATAACCCTCAGGCATCATCATCCAGGAAAAGATTCAGTCACGTTCACTATTCTATACTTATGGCAGAGGGCAATCTTATTAATTCATCAAAGGAAGACTTTTTTTTTTTTCAAGCAACAAAGGCAGTGATTCTCATCCTTAGCTAATAAGGACATTCAATTAATCAGAACATCCTATCCCTTGAGCAGAATCTTCTGGTTATAGATTTCCCCACAGTGCACACTCCAAGTCAAGGTTTCGTCACCTGTCCTGTGTCACAGACCCCTTTGGCATCTGATGAAGTCTACAGACTCCTCAGAATAATGTTTTTAAATGCATAAAATATAATACATAGGATTATAAAAAGTAACCAATTATATTAATATAGTTACCAAATATAGTTATCTTCTTTAAAAAAAACAAACAGGGGCAGCTAGGTGGCCCTGAAGTCAGGAGGGCCTGAGTTCAAATATGGCCTCAGACCAAACACTTGACACTTACTAGCTGTGTGACCCTGGGCAAGTAACTTAACCCCAATTGCCTAAAAATTAAAAAAAAAGTAAAAAAAAAAACCCCACATAAATTTATGAACCCTAGGTTAGGAATCCCTGCAGTGAACACAGTGCATTTTACATGGGGGCTTCGGGTGATGGGGTTTGGAGGAACAACTAAATTTGCTCCACTAGATAAGCAAAACTATCTTTTGATAGCTTTTGAATGGTATGGATTAAATTAACTATGAAAAGAGCAACAAGTAGACAGTATGGTACTGTGGTAGGAACAAAATATTATTTCACCTCTCATCTCCAATGCAAGTTAGGCAAATTTTCCCTTAATGGTACTGAAAGTGCCCTCAAAATTTAATTGACTCCAGTGACTAAGGTTCAGATCCCTTCTGAAGCCTTCTGATCACCTGGGTACAAAATAACCAGGGCATGAGGAGTGAGAGTTCTTCCTTCAGGCTTGAACAACATTGGAAAGTTTTATCCTGGATAAACAAACATCCCTTCCCTGTTCTGAATGTCCTTTCCCAGCTACAGCTAAGTCAACCTCATTTCCTTAGATGGATGCTGAGTTTGTCTCATTTAGTTCTAGCTCTGGCCCTAAATTACTAAGGGACTAGTCTGAGTAAGGCCCAGCCCCACAATAAATACAATGGGAAAAGGACTGGTTTTTCATAGCTTATCAGAAAATGAGCTAGGTGTGTAGACAGAGAATCTAGGTCCACATCCTAGCTCTGCAACTTACCTTGGCCTTGGACAAATCATTCAAGTTCCCCGAGCCTATTCCACTATCTATAAAATGAGGGAGCTGGGCTAGGTAGCTTCTACCATCCTTTCCAGCTTTAAATCTTGATCGCATGAGCCTCTACTCTAGTAAATTCCCCCTTCTCCTCCAACACAGAACCCTGAATAAAATTTTATCTATTAGCCCCACAGACTATCAATTCTTAGATTCTATTAGTCTAAGACACATAAAATAGGTAACACGAGCTATACATGTTTATAAATCGGCTTCCATATTGGTTTACTCACCACATCTATAAAGCGAAGAGACTTAAAATTAGTTTCAGGAGGACATCCCATTGCAGACAGACAAGGATAATGTCCTTCTTCTAATACATACTGATTACCAGAGAAATTTTCCCCATCATAAGCAACCCAGCTGTGGGAGAAGAAAAAAAAAACCATAAGAGTTGAGGATCTGAATAATTTTTTAAAAGACAGACTGCTATAGAACAGAAAAACCTTAACCTTGAGATTAGAACGCTGCTACAAACTTGGGTTTGTTTTTCTAAAAGAGAGACAGGTTAATATGAAGTCAGAAACATGAAACAGGGTAACATGAAAGCAAATAAAGCAAGACTTTATACCTGGAAGATTTTTTTTAAGGGGGGGAGGTAGGGAGTTCAGTGTTGGGCTAAGGGTGCTTTCCTTTCGTTGTGACTTTGTTTATACCAAATAAGATGGTAAAATTAAAAAAAAACCCAAACCATAGTTAAAGGAATGAAAAAATTTTGCCTTGGGGAAAAGAAGTCTCATGGGGGTACCTAATATTTGGAGGCATGTCCCATGGAAGAGACAATAAGATTTGCTCTATTTGACCAATTAAATCAGAACTTACAACCAATGTAGGGAAGCCACAAGTTGGGAAATTTCATCTAACAATAATGAAGAAAAACTTCCTAATAATTAGAGCTGCCTGAAAAAAAGAATGAGGGTAGTAAGTTTCCCTGGCGGATGCTATAGGTAAGATTTGTGATTTGACCAGAGATTGGTCTAGATGAGACCTGAGGTCCAGTCAAAATTCTAAGACTCAAGACGCAACTGACATCCCATTTCTTCCATGACTGTTCTCACTGCCTTCTAGACTCTTACTGTAATTGTAGCCTCTACCACTCAATTTGGCACTTAAATATTTAGCTGATATTATTCAACATTATGTCAAGTTAGTCTTATCTCCCCAATGAGTCTATCAATTTCCTGATAGCTAGGAAAACATTTGATATGTTCTTCTGGACATCCAGCACCTACCCCAGAAATGCAAGCATAGTAGGTGCTCTGTAAATGCCTGTCAATGCACTGGTTATTGACTCAATAATGGAGAATTAGGTTTTTTCCTTCTGCTTACCTGCCTCCCAAAACTCTGCAAGACTTTGCAGAAAAGGAATCTTCAATTTGATTAGTAGTATCTTCAAAAACTTTACTGCTACCACGGAATTCTGGTTCTGAGAATAAGTGAACCTTTGAAAAAGTGAGCATGAAGACAGAAAATTAAATTCCAAAACACACTATGCCTTTAAAATGCTGACCCAAATATATCCTCTAACTGCTAACTACAGCAAACGAAGTTTTAAAATTTCAAAACCCTCCAGTTTTTATAACTTCCTTAATAGATCATTTGTAAACATGATTTCCATAGCATCAACGATTTTTAAATATAATTCTGTAACATCAAAGACAATCCAACAGCTGAAAAATCATAACTCTTTGAGAACATTTGTTGTAAAAAGTAATAAAATATTTTAAAGCTTTCCTGTAGGCTGTCTCTATGTTCACCTGCTCTAATCTTAATAATCAGCTACATTTTGGAAACAATAATTTTTCCTCCCTCTCAATGCAGAAAAACACTTGCTGACCTATCAAAATATTGTATATGAACAAGGGATGAAGACTAGTGTGGTATTTATACTTGTATAATTAAGGCAGTCTGAGTATGCCCATTAAAAAGCATAAGTCTTACCCATAAAATTCAGCTGATGTTGAAAGTCAACATTTAAAGGACTGGACAAAAGTCAGACTAGTATTTTTAAGAGAATTACAGGATCATTCATAAACATGCAGACCTGCATGTTTGTGGGGCGTAGAGAGTGGGACAGCTATAATGATGGGAGCAAAAACCCTTGCAGTAGGGTCAGTAGATAGGAGCTGTGCATCAGGAATGTGACCTTTTGTATACCACTCTCTTTTGCTAAGGCTAGGGTTCTATTATTTCATAACTTGCTATCTTTATGCCTAAACCCACCCATCTCCTTAACTTCTCTACTATGGCTAAGGGCACCATGGTTCTTTTCTTTAAGATTCAGATGTATCTGAATACTAGTAACCAAGCTTTTAAAAAAAATTATAACTTAAAATATGTACTTATATATTTAATATATAAGGTATAATTTAATTTAGTATATAAATATAATTTAATATGTTTCTATATTATATATGTATATGTGTATATATACATATATATAAAATTTTCAATCCATTTAAATAACTTTGAGGTTGCATGGCAAAGTGGCATAGAAAGCCAGTCTCATAATCAGGAACACTGAAGTTTAAATCCTACCTCCAAAACATGTGTGTGAATCTGGGCAAGTTATTTAAATTCTCAGAGCCAGACAACTCTCTAAGGCTTAAATACTTTGGCCACATAATGGGAAGACAGGACTCATTGGAAAAGACCCCGATGTTGGGAAAGACTGAAGGCAAAAGGAGAAGGGAATGGATAGATATTGTCATGGAAGCAATGAACATGAGCTTGGACTGATTTCAGGAGATAATGGAGGATAGAAGGGCTTGGTGTGCTATGGCCCATGGGGTCACAAAGAGGACGTAACTGAACGACAATATACAAAGTGGAAAACAGCATATCATGGTGGACAGAGGCCTGGCTGTGGAGTCAGGAAGCCCCAGGTTCAAGTTGCATAGACTTGTACCAGTAGAGGGAGTTTCCTCACTAGGAAGTTCCTTAGACCACCAAAATCACAAGTCCCTTTCCTATTCCTATTGAATAGGTCTAACTAACAAAAATATCAAGAGTGTTATCTGGCAACTTTTGGGGGTTTGTTGTTGTGGTCCCCCTCATTAGACTGTGAGCTCCTTGAGGGCAAGGACTGTCTTTTACCTTTCTTTGTATTCCCCAGAACTTAGCACCTGGCAACCAGCAGGTGTGAAATAAATGCTTGGTGACTTTTGCTTTGATTTTTATAAAAAGAGAAAATTTCTATTTTTAGAAAAAGAGAAATCATTAGGAAAGGATTCCTATATGACTAATGATAGGTACTCCCCAATGCAGCAATGATCAATGGACAAGAATAGGCAATTTATGGGAATTAATAGGAAATCCAAACTGTCAATAATCTCATGAAGAACTGCTTAAATTCACTAACAGAGAAATGCAAATCAATTGAAAATTATGACGATAATCTTACACCCACCACAATCCCCCTTCATGCCCTGAAAAAAGGCAAAAAATGATAATATCCAGGTTGGCAGGTCTGTGGGGAAACAGGGATTGTTGGTAGGCCTGGAGATTGGCACAAATATCTTAAAAGAACAGGATGGCTTTATATAGCAAGTGTCAAAAAACTGATCATATCCTTTGGCCCAACAATCCTAAAGCTTGAATTTGGGATCAAAAGTATTATAAAAAGAAAAAACCCTATCAATACAAAAATATTTATAATAGCAAAACATTGGAAACAACCTATATGGCTCAAAATCAGACTGGCTAATTCATATATGGCACACTAATGTAATGGATTATTATGGTGCATAAAAATGATGAAGAGGAAATATAGAAGGAAATATTTGTTGCTGGATCAGTTGTTTTCAGTCGTGTCTGACTCTTCATGACCCCATTTGGGGTTTTCTTGGCAAAGATACTGGAGTGGTTTTCTATTTCCTTCTCCAGCTCATCTTACAAATGAGGAAACTGAGGCAAACAGGCTTAAGTGAGTTGCCTAGAGTCACACAGCTTATTAAGTGTCTGAGGCTGGATTGAAATTCAGGTAGATGAGTTTTCCTGACTCTAGGCCCAGTACCCTTTCTACCGAGCCAAGAAAGAAATATGGAAAGAGCTATCTAAACATACTGTAAAGCAAAATCAGGACCAGAATGTACACACAATGATTTCAACTACGTAATTTTTTTTTTAAAAGAAACAAAGCCAAAGGTAGCAGAACTTCAGATACACCTGGACGAGGATACAGAACAAATGCTTTTTTTTCCCTTGGTTCTTTGTTAATTCATTTGGTTCTACTATAATCAATGCTAAAGATTCAATGGAAGAATTCACTCTGATGTTGTATCTTTGTTGTGTTGGTTATTATTAAATTTACAATAAAGCATTTTTCAATACTTACTTTATTTCTTTCCTTTGGGCTAGTGAAGGTATCCTAAAAATTTTAAAGGAAGAAGAAAAGAAAATGAGCAGCAGATATTTTTTATTTTTTTAATATGTGTGGGGAGGCACTAAAACATTTTTGTTGTAATCCATATATAAGTTTTACTGTATCAGTATGCACTACTTAAATCTAGAACTTTATGAAATATATTTTAAAAAAAAATATGGCGCCTTACCAAACATATAGGTTGAACTGAAGAGATCTTACAATTCTTGCCTCCCCAGTCCTCAAAGCTAGTATACAATCCTTTATCAAGTATATATTGCTCTCCTGTGAAGTCCGGATTTTCATAGGCCACCCATCTGAAAAAGAACAAAATCAAAGACTTCTTATTGCTTGTAGAACTTAGATATAAGCCAGAGCTTTTCAAATATTTCAGTTCAACATACATATATATATTAAAAAGTTCTTCAGAGAACTGCCTCCAAAATGCAAGAAATAGGGGGTATAGTCAAGAGGATTCATGTTCAGGTATGGGTTAAACCAGATCACTTCTGGAATACCTCTAACTCAGACATTCAAAAAGTCTACATACGTTCCATAAATTTCCATGACTGCAGCCATGGAATTAAAAGACGCTCACTCCTTGGAAGGAAAACTGTGGCCAATCTGCACAGCGTACTAAGATGCAGAGATGTCACCTTGCTTGCAAGAGTCCATATAGTCAAAGCTGTGGTTTTTCCAATAGCAATGTGTGGCTGTGAGAGCTGGAATACAAGGAAAGCTGAGAACCGCAGAATTAATGCTTTAGAATTGTGGTGCTGGAGAAGACTTTTGAGAGTCCCTTGGACAGGAAGGAGATCAAATCAGTCAGATTTGAGAATTTAAGAAACTAATTCAGACTATTCATTGGAAGATCAAATAGTGAAGCTGAAGCTTAAATACTTTGGCCGCAAAATGGGAAGAAGGAACTCATTGGAAAAGACCCTAATGTTGGGAAAGATTGAAGACAAAAGAAGGGGATGGACAGATAGTGACACGGAAGCAATGAACACAAGCTTGGACTGACCTCAGGACATAATGGAGGATAGAAGGGTCTGGTGTGCTATGGTCCATAGGGTCACAAAGAGTTGGACGTGACTGAAGAACAACAACATACAAGGAGGAAAAAAAATGTAATGTAGATAGAGGGCTGGAGTCAAGAAGTCCTGGGTTGAAGTCACACTCCTTTTTGACACATTCTAATTAGCTGTGTCCAATCACTTCATCTCAGTGCCCTCAAGCAATTCTCTAAGCCTGTAAATTACAGAGGGGTTGCCATCAGTATCAGTGGAGGGAGTTTTCATCAGGATAAAATCACAGGTCCAGGCAAACCACTACAAGGAGTGCAATGACAAAGATAAGGATGAGCCCTAAAAAGCATAAACACTGGACAGAATGGTGACATATGAGATGTAGTTCCCAGGATTTAGAAAGGATAAATACACAAATAATTATGATTTTAAAAAAAAAAAGGAGCAGAGAGGGAAGTGAGGTAAGCATAAAGGAAAAGTGCCAGGCAAAATGATATGAAAAATTTGAAAATGGAGAGATAATAATGATGATGATGATGATAAAGAGCTAACATCTATGTAGCATCTACTATGTGCCAGGTACTGTATGAAGCACTTTACAATTATTATTTCATTTGACCCTCACAACAACCCTATGAGGCGGGTATTGTTATTATCCCCATTTTACAGATAAAGAAATGGAGACAAAAAGAGGTTAAGTGATTTGCCCAGGGTCACACAGCTAGTAAGTTTCTGAGGCTGAGGATTTGAGCTCAGGTATTCCCACTGTGACAGATCACTTTCACCTGTGGGGGGTGTGGAACTAGGCAAAGGTGTCACTGGTGAGAAGGCATCTGAGTTGAGCCTAGAAGAGGGAGGTACATCAACACAGATGAGACAGAAAAATTTATCCCAGACTTCAGTGGACAGTATAAGCAAAGACACATAAATAGATAGGAACAAGAGACAGAGAAGTCTGTTTTGGCTCAACTATAAAATGTGTGAATGGGAATAGGAAGAAATAAGGCTGGAAGAGTAGCTGGAGCTGGACTGTGGAGGGGCTTGAATATTTATGAGTTTATTCTTTATTAAGCTGGCAAGGGCAGCTACCAAAGGGACTAACATCATAATGTGCATTGATGTGGAAGCAGTTAGAAATTGCTAATTAGAAATTACAATAGTTTGAGTAAGAAGAGAAAAAGATAGGGATGAGAGTAGCTGAAAAGGGAAAAGAGAAGAAGAAAAAGAAGTGAGGTTAAGGGAATCGTTATCTGCAGAGAACTGATAATCAAAGTCAGGGTGGTGAGTTAAGATCACCAAGGAAAATAGAGTAGAGAGTAAGAGGGCTTAGGGCAGAACCTTGCAAAGCCGCCATGTTTCCCAGCAAAAGAGACAAAGAAGGAAGTAGTTTTCTAATCTGTCCTAATCTTTCTTTATAGTGCACAAGCAACAAATCAAAATGATAATTAAAAATCTCTTCTCACAAATCCTTTATGTTCTCACTTCAGAATCTATGTGGGAAAACTAAAGAAAGATCCTATGATATTCATTTATGTTTATCTTAAACCATAAGAACCCCCCAAAACTGGGACTTCCAAAAAGAACCTTTCTTCCTCTAAGTGATCAAGCAAAAATTCCGCTTTCTGACTTCACCAAAATATTTCTACAGCAAGATAGTAAAGGGTTGTGCCTCTTTTGTAAGAAACCACAATGACAAATATTATTCCACAATTCAAAATGATTGGCTAAGGAAGTGTTTAGCCACAACGCACACCAACTGTTAAAATGTACAGCTTTTCTTTTCTCAGATTAAAAGACACAATTTTTTTTCATTCAAATTACATTTCAACACATTACTTTTAATCTTTTAAATTGCTCTGACATAATTGGTAGAGATGAGAATCTGACCCCAAAGTTAAATAACAAAAAACAAACACCTCCGGGTAAGCTGTTACTGGTTACAAGGCATATTATCAACTCAAGATAAAACCACTTAATTAACCATACTAGCTAATAAGCTGATTGGTGTCAGTGTAATTGAATACCATCCAGTTCAACCATTTACCAAGCTACTATTCTACGTAAGGTCTTAATTTCTGGTGAGTGAGCAATATATGTCATCCAATCCATCAAACATGTATTTAGCATCTAACACCTAAAAAACTCTCTCAAGTGAGCGTTTTGAGAAATATCTCAAGCTTAAGGGTATTCCACTGTGCTAAATGGTCCCCAGGGAGCTTGAGCAATACAGCCTTTCACTGGTATGATTTGTTGTTGTAGTTCAGTTATTTCAGTTCTGTCTGACTCTTTGTGACGCCATTTGGGGTTTTCATGGCAAAGATACTGAGGTCGTTTGCCATTTCCTTCTCCAGCTCATTTTACAGATGAGGAACTGAGGCAAACAGGCTTAAGTGATTTGCCCAGGGTCACACAGCTAGTAAGGCCCAAGGCTAGATCTGAACTAAGGAAGATGAGTCTTCCTGACTCCAGGTCCATGCTTTAAACTTTTTAGGATCTTTTCATATTATTCATCACACTTCATCCTCACAAAGAGTGAACAAGGTGGCTAATACAAGTGTTATTATACCCATTTTCCATATTAAAAAAATAAAAGATGTGCAGAGGTTCAAGTAAGTGGTTTTCAGTCACAGAAATATCCTCAGATGTGCTACTCAGTGATGGCATAGACACCACCCAGACTAAGAACTGAAAGTCTCATCACTAGTTGGTTGGCTACTGGACGATGAATTCTTCAGCCATGGCAACCCATGAAACAAGTTAAAAATATGAGAAGTCGTGAGTGGGTTGCGATCTGAATTGTTCAAAGAAACAGTACCCACATCAGTGAGATCACTGATTCATCAAAGCCTGAAAGTAAGTCACAAGCAGCCGAAAGAGACACAAGTGAGCTCGAAGTTGAAAAGCTCATTTGAAAAATGCTGCCTTTTAGAAAGTAGATTGACCACACATTATAAAATAAAGATGGAAGAGGCCTTAGAAATCACCTAATTCAACTCCCTTACTCTATAGAGAAAGGAATTCATGTCTCAAGAGCAGACTACAAGGACACATAACATAGATGGCAATTAAGATCCCAAGTCACCTGTTGCCTATATGGGGCTCTTTCCACCACATTAGACTGCCTTGACTAAAAGGCATGACCTAAGTAGATTTTGTCCTCTATGAAATATGATCTGCTTTTTTTCATATAATATTACCATTAAGCCAGTACTAACAAATTCTGCAAATCTAAAACCTATAATAATAGTAAGGCCGGATTAAGATTTGGTTACTATCTTAAAAAAAAAAAAAACAAAAAAAAAATCTCAAGTATTACAACTACTCAAAAAAGCAGAGCACATGAGGAAGAAAAGAAAACCACAAAACTCAGATTCTTTATTTAGATTTAGAGTTGGAAACTACCTTGAAGGTCATATCGAAAGGCAGTGTAGTACAATGGAAAGACTGCCGGATTTAGAGTTCAGAGAACCTGAATTCATATCCTGCCTCTTTGACTTGCTGTTCTTGTGATTTTGAGTACATCACTTAAGCTCTCTGGGCCTCAGTTTCTTCAGCTGTAAAATGAGGGGTGTTGGACTTGATGGCTTCACTGGTCCTTTCTAGGTCTAAATCTATAATCCAAAGATACTAGTGTTTAATCCCTTCATTTTACACATAAGGAAACCAGAGTCCTGAGAGACCTCAATTAAATGATTTTTCACAAGATTTAAGCAAGATTGCATGTGAACACAAGTTCCCCGACTCTAAATCTAATGCTCTTTCCATTGACCCATCGCCTACTAGTCATCTGACCTTAGAAACTGACATGGGAAACATAAAAGATGCTGTTGACTCCATTTCCCAAAATGCCTCTTTTCCTTAAGCAGCATTCTCATAAGTAAAGTGCTAGCACCTTCTCTTTAGGGCTACATTCCACCTACATTCCACCTGTGCTTCCTTTATGTACATATTCTCTCCCTCATTCCAATGCAAGTTCTTGGAGGACCGGGGCTGTTTTTGCTTTTTCTTTGTATATTCTTCCCCCACCCACCCACCCACCGACGCTTAGCATAACACCTGGCACATAGTAAACAAATTAATCCTTGTTGACAGATTACATCACACCACAGAAATGAAAGACACCAGATTAGGAATCCTAAAACTCTATGTGTTATTAATTATTCAAACTGGAACAATCATTTTACCTTTCTGGGCCTTAGCTTCCTTATCTATAAAATGAATGAAAGGCAAGAAACAGGCAATTTATCAACGGCCTCCTCTGTGCTGGCTTTACAAATCTGTTTGATCTT